CTAAACCGTTTAGGGTTTACAAGGGATTACGGTTTACGGGCTCGGGGAGCTTGTCGGGTTCAGGTTTCGAGCGGTTTCGGGTTTAGGCCTGTGCTCATTCCGGGCGATGATAAAGGAGGAATCTACGAACCTTCTGTCCAGGTTTATGTGTTTTAAGTATAGATATAGATCTATAGATATAGACTTGGTGCAGAAAGAAATATAAGTATAGCTGCAGAGACATACATATATAATACATGCACTTGTCTGTATCTGCATGTAAAACATATATATATATATATGTATATATATATATATATACATACATGCACACACAAACCGAGCGCAATTACATAGCGCTGCATATGCAAATTGCATACATACATACATTCATACATACATACATACGTACGTACGTACGTACGTACGTACATACATGCATACATACATACATACATACATACATACATACATACATACATACATGCGAGAGAGAGAGAGAGAGACGGAGAGATATAGAGAGACCGAGAGAGAGAGAGAGAGAGAGAACCCAAAACAACAGAGAGCTACGACGCGTCCGGTGATCAAGTACAGAGAAGTGTAACCGACCCTTTTGAATACATAAACATATTGTCGTCATGGGCCCTGCGAACAAGAGTACCCCACTTGTCCAGTATCCCGGGGAACTAAAAGTAAACCTTTGGGAGCATATCGGGACCATAAAGAGATTCAAATACCCCAAGCAGGTTAATTAAAGGTTACCTACTCTACGACTAGAGCGCCATACAAAAGAGCTGGTCTGTAGGCAGTAGATCAGGACCTTGGAGTCAGGAGCTGAAGTTTAGTCTTCACGGGCTTAGTTTAGGATCAACTTTTTGCATAATTTTTGAGCCAATATTTGCCCAGCGTTCCATTCACAAAGGTCTTCCAGGAAAGGGGTGTTTTGGGGGTTTAGTGATGTAGCTTTCTGAGGGCCAAAGGGTTGAGGGAATCTAGCATTTCGGGATGTAGGCGTGAGGGCCCGCGGGCTTAGGGCATCACTGCTTGGAATTTAGATATTGCTATACATTTATGTGTGTACATATATATATATATATGTATGTATGTATAGGTAGGTTTACGGTGTGTAGTTTTTGATTGGGGGCGCATGGTTGTAGTTCAGTGGGTTGGGATTAGGTGCCGGATGTTGATGGGTACAGAGCAGTGTAGTTCGCACTGCGTCATACTCATTAGGGGCCTTGGCGTCTTAGGTTTCAGCACTTCGAGCTTTTTGGGTATTTACCCAATGGGGCCAAAGTACCGTTTTAGTCGAATGTAGGGTTCTGTATTAGAAAGTAGTTGAGGACTCAAGGCAGACGCGAATGCCACGTGACAGCCAAACCCAGTTCTGCCGTGCGGCTACTTGTTCTCTCCTGTGATCCGTGCCGACCTTCCCGTGGATGCTGCGAAAGGGTCGAACCCAAATCCTAAATCCTAAAGCCTCAACCAACACTAAACACCTCAACGCCAAACCCTACAGCAATCTAAGCCGAAATCAAAAGCATCGTCCCGAAGCACTCCTCCGAAACTACGACCCTTAGCCCAACAAAAACACAAAGCCGTGGACCCTCAACGTTGTAAACTAAAACAGAACCCATCGACCCGAGTACCCCTCAATGGAAACTAAGAACAATCCCCAAAACACAGGGGAGGATATAAAGCGATTTGAAAAATGCCTGTGTACTCGGCTACCCCTTTCTTTGGTGCCCATATCGGCTTCTGAGCAACTATAGCAAGGAGTCGCATCAGATCATCAAGTGTTCTAGCGCCATGTCCCCGGCCCAGACAACCGCAAGCCTCTCAACCCTAATCCCACCTCCTGCACATCCAAATTCCTAAATCCTACACATCTCGTGTCCTTAATGACCCTCTGAACCGCACGCCAAAAAATCCCAGAACCGCAACCTGCAACGGGCCGGAATAGAGCCCCAAAGCCCTAAAGCGCTAAACTGCTAAACGTTGCTAAGCTAAAAACAGTCCTAAACCCTAAACCCTAAACCCTAAACCCTGAACCCTAAACCCTAAACCCTAAACCCTAAACCCTAAACCCTAAACCCTAAAACCTTAAACCCAAACCCTGAACCCAACTCTCTTTTCTGGCGCCTGCTCAGGGATGCCACCGGGCTGCAAGGCAAGACTGCGGCCGGCCCCGAGGACCCTTGGGGTTTAGGGTTTAGGGTTTAGGGTTTAGGGGTTTCAGGGTCGAGGGTTCAGGGTTGAGGTTGTAAGGGTTTAGGTTGTAGGGTTTAGGGTTTCAGGGTTCAGGGTTGTAGGGTTTAGGGTTCAGGGTTGTAGGGTTTGGGGTTTAGGGGGGTGTGCCAAGCCTGATTAAGGGTTTGGGGTTGAGGGTCTGTAGGGTTAAGGGTTAAGGGTTTAGAGTTTAGGGTTTAGGGTTTAGGGGTTTCAGGGTCGAGGGTTCAGGGTTGAGGTTGTAAGGGTTTAGGTTGTAGGGTTTAGGGTTTCAGGGTTCAGGGTTGTAGGG